ACAAAACTTTTTTCTATCTAAAAAATCTATTTTCTATCTAAAACTCTATTTATTATCTAAAAATGTTTTGGGGCCTACAATTTGATCAGTTACAACCTTAGTTTAATAACTTGTGCTAATGCATATATGCTATATCTAAAACGATTAAGTTTATAATGGACCAAAAACAAGTAAACAATCCTTGAGAAATTCGTAAGGTTTTACCTGTGAACAACTAAACTGCCGACAACAAGAAGTAACCACACCCTTTAAGCATACTATTGTCAATGTAGCAAGACGAAACTTTAGGTGAACATTAAGCGAGGTTGTCAAAATTATCTTGTAAATTTAAGTTATTTCTCTATTAAGTTTTGTTTTTTCTACCTGCGTTTTAAGTTGTAATTTACTTCTATATAGAACTGTTAAAGCACATCCTTTCTCCACAAAATCCAATCACCTTATTGTTTTCCAAATTAAAGGGTGACTTAGTTGGTCTTGATTTTGTAGGCATAAAGCCAATCTCTTAGATGAAAATTCTGAAAAAGCCACTCTCTTAGGTGGTGTTTGTAACCTCAGGATGATATTCCTGATATGATATTCAGAATTTATAATGTAACTGTTTCGTAGTTTCATCAAATAAACGTAGAAATGTAAAAAAACTGCATAAAAACGTCAGGACAGTATCTTTTAAATGAATTGTTCGAGATATCGAGTAAAATAAAACACTCAGAATGCAATAACTATACTGAGTAATACATGCGTCTAGCGTAAAAACCAATGATTGAATATATCTTTTACTACAATCATATACATTTTGTGCCCTAGTTATTACCTACACGCAGTAATCGGTACTGTTCTTGAGATCTGTCACCAATTAGCGGACACACGTAATAACTTTTCTAGTTCATTGCCAGGTCGCTCGGTATGATTTAATTTAGAAATTGATATTATGAGATCAATGAAAGTAAAATAAGGGATCTAAATATTTGGTCATAGTACAACCACGCCTTTTAATGTTATTTTTTGTATATAAATCAGCAGGCGGCTACGAAAAAAATATAGTTCGTGCGGTACTTGCAGTTGGTACAGTGATCTCAAAAATGGCATTCAAAGTAAGTGTTCTAAAAATAAATTTGGAATAATGTAAAAAATCAGATATTTACTGTGATATAAAAGAAGTCCGAACTACATACTTTATTTGCCTTCTTCTTCTTTTTTATTATTAATAGTGCCTGTTCAATCTAAGTTTTTTTCATTGTGCCCTTCCCTTTCTTTACAATCTGTTGTGCTTTTTATATAGAGTGTAACAAAAGAAGCGGGAGGATCGAATATATCGTGAATTAAATACTGGATCTAAAACAATATGTTCAATATTTTTCAAAAATTAGGCGAATGACACCAAACACGAGTGGGAAAAAGGGCAACTTTGGAATCTTAATAGAAACCCCCCACTTTTGGTTGCAGATTTTAATTCCACAAAAGATTCTTAAAAAACTGTATTCAGTACCATAACAAATACTTTATAGACTTCTAATTTGTATATGTTTTTCTCTGATTACACCACCGTCTATCTGAATTGAAAAAAAAATTTAGATAAAACTCGTTTAGTTTTTTTTTTCTATTCGCATAGAGGGCTCTAAAAACACACAGATTAGATGTTCGCAAACTAATTTTTATGGTACTGGGTAAAATTTTTTAATAATGTTTTGTAGAATCAGAATCTGCATTAAAAATTGGGAGTTCGAAGATTTTAAAGTTGCACCCCTCCTTACCTCCAGTTTGTGGTTTTTATTTGAGACTGTATTTCTCAAGATAAATCGTTTTTATAATTTTTCTAGGGTATCACGATAAATTGTTTTTTCCGATTATTATACCATCTATCAACAATGTGAAAAAGTTTATTTTAAAACTCACTTATTTTTTTATGAGAAATCCAAATCTGCTATAAAAATGGGGGCTCTGATTCAAATTTTAAAGTTTATTAGAATTTTTTTTATAAGCGTTTTTTTGTTATTTATATTCTTCTCATAATTCTTAATCTTATAGTATTAGATTTTGCATTAGTATACAGAGAATTTTTAGAGGACAAGTTATCACCATTTTTATTTTGAAATCCCTATGAAATCAACACCATTTATAGAAAAAAGTAATGCATAAACAATTATTTATTTTATATTATAAAGTAAACAATATATTGTTGTTTTTAAATTAAGTTTAATTAAAATAATTGACAAAATTTTTTGTACAGGGTGAACTACAAAACAAAATAACGTTTTTCCCAATTTTTTTTTAATGGATCACCCCATATTTTATTTTATAGAAATATTATGATACTTTTTCATTCTTACATAGCATTTCCTATACCTAAACTCATTACTTTTTAAGATATTTTTGGTTTTCTTCAAATTTCGGAATTAAATTCAATTTTTGTAAGTGTAAATAAGTACTGAGTATTGAGGGATAATAAAACAAAACGATGTTTATTCAATAAGTAATTAACAAAAAATATAAACCCTACTAATATGCAATGAATATATCAATAAATGTAATATTATGGAAATATCATATTTTCTTAATGAAATACAAGATTCCTAAAATTATTACAAGATAATATGTATTGTATAATAATATAACAACATTATTTTTATTCAATAAATAACTCACACAAAATAAAAAGCAAATCAATATACAATTAATGTAACAATTTTTAGATTGTTATATCAACAGTATTCTAAGCCAATCTGGTGCTGACGGAGATACATTATTACTGTTGTATAGAAGTCTAATCCGATCAAAATTGGACTACGGATGCATTGCATATTCTTCAACGTCGAAGTCAAATTTAAAAATCTTAGACATTATACACAACAATGAGTTACGCCTAATCTCTGTAGCTTATAGAACAACTCTTGTTGTAAGCCTCGATTAAGAACTTGGAGAGCCATCATTATATGAATGACGGAAATTACTTAGTCTATCTTACGCTTCAAAACAATCCTCACTACAACCTGACAACCCCATTCTTACTCAGTCGTCGTTATTAAATATCAATATAAGAACATTTACCATTTCAATTAAGGAGCAAAAACATTTTAAACTCTATTAAAATGTTTAACTTTCCCTCAACACATTCAGCAAATGTAAACACGTCACCTCATTGGTTAATTCCTTTGCCTACTTTAAATTCAGAATTATCATCATCTCATAAATCTGAAACTAATCCATAAAGATTTATAAGCAATTATAATAGAATATTTTCTTCTCTCCCTGAATATATCCAAGTTTACATAGCTGCATCTAAAACAACTTCTGGTGTAGGATCATCATTTATTATAAGAGACATGATAAAATTTTTTAAATTGCCCACAAAATCCACTGTGATAACTAGAGGAATGTATGCAATATACAGAGCTCTAAATCACATACAAACAGTCAAATCAGATAAATAAATTCCTTATTATTACTGACTCAATCAATTTTCTCCATATAGTGTCAAAATGTACACCTGCAACCCGATTGCTAAATTAATTAAAAACAAGATGCAGCAACTGAAAAACAAAACATTAGTCTTTATGTGAGAAATAGCAAATTCCCCAAATATCAGACCGATAATAAAACTATTAGCAGAAGATTTCAATCCATACTTTAAACAAAAGCTGATATGTAATTGGACTAAATGTTGGGAAGAAAAATCCCAAAATGAAAATATCTCGAAAATAATGAGTTAAGATATAGGGAATACTATATAAAAATAAAATAGTATCATAAATACAATATTTCTAAAAAGTAAAATATAGGATGATCCATTTAAAAAAATTGAGAACATCGTAATTTTGTTTTGTAATTCACCCTATATACAAATTTCAGTCAATGATTTCAATTAAACTTAATTTAAAACCTACAATATATTGTTTATTTTATTATATAACATAAACAATATATTGTTTATTTTATTATATAACATAAATATTTGATTATGCATAACTTATTTAATACTCTGTATATTAATACAAAACCCAATAATTTAAGAACAAGAATAAGGGTAAGAATACAAATTTGAAAAAATATATAGGGTGTCAAATTTAAAAAATTGTATGTTTGCTATACCACGTCGTAATTAATCGCCATGTAGAATTCTACATATTGCCTACTATATGGACAATATCATTGCCTAAAAATTCACCCTGTATAGATAGGTATTCGCGTGTGTGCGGTTTTTACCTCTTTTATAAATTGCTGTTATCTTGTGTAAACTGAATTGATATTCCACCTTGCTATTAACATTTTTTTCTTCTTTTTTTATTGTCCTTTTGTTGCATGGGTTATTTAAACCATTTTAATCCCATTCAGAGTTCTTATTTTCTAAGCATATTTTTAATGCGTCTTTAAGAGGTTACTAGCCTAACTTAACAGCAATTTGCTACTTAGAATTCAGCTTTTACCTCCAGGCATACTTGGGTTTATATGTCATTTGATACACACTGTTCATGTGACCAAACTCGGTTGACAGAGCCACGTTTGGAATACACAGGAGTTACCACGGGATGGTAAGGTTGTCAGTAAGTTAGAAAATGTTTTACGGGAGACATTTTTATCTTATTAATCCTCCATTAAAAACATTTTGTTTAGCTATCTTCCATTCAATATATCTATTTTTTATATGGGATTATATTGTTTGTAGGCAAATCATTTTCATCTAAAGATCCTTGTTACTGATCTCTTGGTGCAATTGTATTTGTATTCTCTTTAGTTTTCCTGTTGTCTTTCCCATGATTTTTAAAATATTCCAGTATTCCAGTAATATGCATATTGTATATTCATAAACTTCTTGTTTTTTCAACAAATCGTTGATGACTAAGTAACCACAATATCGTCTCAATGATTTACATTTTACTTGTGATTTGGTCTAATAAAGTATGTCTGTATAAAACAGTAATATTGTTCCAAATTTTTTATTTTGAGTGACAAATAAATATTTTTAATGTAAAAAATTTATGTTTATAACAATTATTTACTTTCAGCTCATTAGTCTTTTGGCTCTGGTAGCCGCCACACATGCAGGAGTTTTGAGCCCTCAACATTCTTATTCCGATGCTCCTTCAGTTTCCTATTCAAGTGTTTCGAATCCTGAAATATCGTATGGTGGACCAAGTTATTCTAAAGTTGCTGCTCCAGTTCACTATGCAGCTGCACCAGCAATTAAAGTAGCCGCTCCAGTATCTTACGCTGCCCCAGTAGCATACGCCGCTCCAGCTTTCAAAGTATCTGCTCCAGTGTACAAAGTAGCTAAACAAGTTGTAGCTGAAGATTACTCAACTCCAGCTCACTATGAATTTGGTTATGGTGTAGAAGATCCCCACACTGGTGATGTCAAAAGTCAACACGAAACTCGTGAAGGTGATGTTGTTAAGGGAAGTTACTCTCTAATTGAAGCTGATGGTACCAAAAGAATAGTAGAATACACCGTCGATGCTCACAGTGGTTTCAACGCAGTTGTACACCGCGAACCAGCTAGCCATTCAGTTGCTACCAAAGTCGTTGCTCCAGTAGCCTACGCTCAACCTGTTGTAAAAGCTGTTGCTCCAGTAGCTTACGCCCAACCTGTCTTGAAAACAGCTTACGCTCAACCCATCGTTAAAGCTTCATACGCATCACCACTTGTAGCCAAAGTACCAGCTTTTAACAAAATATCGTATTCCAGTGCCCCTGAAGTGTCTTACTCTAGTATTTCTGCGCCAGAAGTACATGCTGCTCCCTCCTACTACCACCACTAGAAAAACTTAAAACTGTTGTTTTTAATTAGGACTTATTTATTTTACTGTTATAAGAAAAATAAAGCAATAATATAATTTCGTTTTTTCATTTTTATGAATTAGTACCAATAATTCCAGAATGTAAATTCCATACACTGTTAATATATTTAAATCTCTAAATAGGTTTTTACAAGACCAACCATACGAAACATCTGCAATAAATCTCACAATACGCTTTTGGGTCTTGAAAACGTCCTTTATACTAGAAAAGCCACCCCAGACAGTTATACAGTTATACTCTTGTCGATTGTAAGACCAAGGTGTTGCAGACTAAGTACTCTACCCAAATTTCTTAATTGATAACATTTAGAATTGAGTGTTTTACATACATTCCAACAATAAGTCTTAAAAGGTAAATGTCGAAATGTTACTCCAAAAAGTTCACATTACTACAAATCAAAATATTCTCATCATTGATGGAAATACTTAGATCAGGTTTAGTACAATTTACAGGATGTATATGATAACAATTTAGTTTTGTGAACATTGAACAGGAGCGACTGATTACTGGATCAATCGAGGAAGATCTTCAATGAGTTTGTTATTTTATCTTGTAAAAAATTTATGTCGTTATCGCGATATAGCATTGTTGAGTCATCCACATAAACTAATATAAATGCATTAGACATTACATATGGTAGTGGATTAATATACAACATAAAGAATATCGCGCCCAATATGGAGCCCTGTTGTACTCCATTCTTATTAACAATCGGACTAGACCTTGAAATCTTGAAGTTATTTTTCACTCTAACTATTTCGTGCTGGTCTTTCAGATAGGAACCAAACCAACTATGGGCAACTCCGCTAACACCATATCTGTACAATCTATCGAGGAGTACCTACATCGTGTTGCAGACAAACAAAAGCACGACTGAGGTCACAAAAGTGGCAGTTGGATTTTCAGTTTACAATTGAGATCAAAATTTCCTCATACAAACCGTTAATGGATATGGAAGTATCCATGTTGATGCTTTGTGATAATTTGGTTAATATCTAAAAACGATAAAAGTTGTTTTGGCATTGCATGTTCAATAATCTTAGATACCACAGACAATGGTCGAAAATTTAACATTTATTCAGGATCACCTTGTTTTAGTACCGGTGAAATAAAAGGTTTCAGCATACTGGGAAAAATACCAGTATTGAAACAAGCATTTATAATGTGTGCAATTGGTGTCAAAATCTAAGACGCAATTTTCTTAATTACTATACCCGATATTTCATCAAAATCACAGGATGCTTTGTTTTTAATTTTATATTTTATTATATCTAAGATATCTTCCTTAGTTCCTATATAAGAACATTTCCATTCGAACAAAATCGTTGGAATGCTGAAAATTAAAATTTGGTTTAATTATTTTACTAATTATATCTGCTGGTGCATCTATAAATTAAATTTGTTTGATATTATATCTGAATCTGTAATCCTGGTATCATCTATTTTTGGACAGACGTGTTTGTGATTTTTTTGTTTTCCATTAAGTTCATTTATAATAGTCCACGTGGTTTTGTTTTTGTTAGAGGATTCAGACATTTTGTTAAAATAAAACTGATCCTTCGTGGTATCAACAAAAACTTTGTGCTAATACTTTTTTTTGTCTATATAGAGTTTTTAGCTCAGGGTATACCTTACGTAAAATATACAAATCTTCAGACCATCTGAAGAAGATTTTACTTTTTGTGTGATCCATGTTTTTTTTGGTTTTTGTAAAGTTTGGTGTTTCTAATAGGATAACTAATATTAGAATAGAACTGTAATAAATCACGAAAGGTATTATATTGACTCTCAACATCAGTTGCCTAATAAACAGTTTGCCATGTTTCTTTACTCACGAGATTGTTGAATGCATATATATATCGTTTTCATTTGTTATTCTGAAAGTATTTGGAACTGATTTCATAGTTAGATTAATAAATTTCAACCTCAAAAGAAATATATCGTGATCCGATTCAGTATTTACATTTACAGTACCTATACAAGCATCAAAACTTTTATATACCTGATATAAAATATTTCCGCACCTGGAAGTCGATCTTGTAGGTGTAAAGTTCCTGGGTGACAATCCATAAGATGCTAGAAGACCAGAAAATCTGTGTGAATTATTTACTGTTGAAATAAGCACGCAACCACAAATCCTAGAACTTGATATAGAAAATGACTTTTTCAGGTGCTCTTATAGGCTTAATCGTCTTCTTAAATCCTTAATAATATCGAAAAATACAAAGGTAGAACTCTTCAAAACAATAATATGCACAGGGCAGGTTCTAGGGATTTCAGTGGCCCATTTATAACAAAATTTAAAGCCTTTTGATACAATAATATACAAAGTTAATATATATACTAATTGAAAAAAATCGTAAAAAAGACAAAAAATCAAAATTACACAATAAAGAACTTCATTTATTGAAAAAAATTTTCTTACAAGAATTCAACTTATGAAGCAGCTAACAAGCGTATTAGGAGTTGAATGAACTACGAACAGGCAAATTGTTTTGCTGACTATAATACAATATTTATTAGTTTTTTTAATACATTGGTCTTGTGTTCCCGTTTTTGAGCAATAGCTGATTGAATATTTTTGCAATGACTGTCCAACTTCAAAATATTGTCCGTGCCTCAGACCACTTAATAAAATTGTTTAAATGTGTGGTAGAACTTTTATACTGTTATAAATATTCAGTTAAATGTTTTCAGTTTAGTGGCGCGCTTAAACAGGGGATTTTGGGGGTGAAGCTCCAGGGCATATAAAGTAAAAACTATATAAAGAATAGTAGGAGAATGTAACTTGTTTTACACACAATACAAAAAATCCAAAACGCTAATTTTATCATTAAATGACCTGTAACGACCTGTACACGGCACACGTGAAAGGTAATTTTCATGGCTAAAAGTACTAAAGACTTATTTAAGAAATTGTATTAGCGAAGAGAGGCTAAATGGTTAAGCTTTGATGTTTATTCATCAGGACATTTGAATAGATGAAGAAGAGGACTACAGGACTGTATCTGCGGCGACCTTGTGGACTATCACGGGTTATCTTCCTCTGCAAGTGTTGAGAAAGCAGGCATCTCTATGAGAGACGGGAGCATTTGATCCCAGCCATAAAAAAAGAAGAAAGGAAAAGATATATGGAAAGATAGCAGGAAGAGTGATACAACACGGAAGATGTTGCAAAGTGGACCAAGATGCTAAACCCGAGCCTAAGGAACTGGTTAGATTGTCTATTTTAGGGAGTATTTTTATAGTTCCAGATAAATGCATATACTGCGAATATTCCGACACTGTTAATCACACAATGCTAGCGAGTAATAGATCTACAGTAGAGAGAAACATAATGTATAGAGAAATATGTATGAACCCTTTAACCTGAGAGACATGATTGTGAAGGTGACGGGAAGTAAGGAGGGATGGAATAGTGTTCAAAATGACATCCAAACAGTAATTAAAAATACAGAAGAAGGAGAGAAACACCAACAAGGCCACCGATAAATATAAGACCTAGATAAGTGAAGGAACTGTTCCAAAAAATGTCGTCAGCCTTACAGTGGCCATCCCACTTTAGAAGTAAGGTACGTGAGATAGTGAACTGCGCACAAGTAGAAAAGGATGGGTTTAGTTGGTAGTCATTATAACAGAAACCTGAATCTTTGGTACTTTAAAAATTAAACTAAAACCCAAAGATAGCATTAAAAAAATTTTGCTGCCCAACCAACCCCCCCCCCTACCAGAAAAATTCTAAGTGCGCCACTGTTCCAGTTAAAATGATCTGTTGTTGCTTAGAATCATTAGATTGTATCTGTATAAAATAATTTACAACAAATATAGAATACCTTATTTTCACTTCTGGAATAAGATATGAACGTAGAAAACATTTTCCATCTGAAGTTTTCCTAGAATACATTGCTTTATTACAATTACAATTATTCAAATTTCGTTAATTATTGTCGAAACCAAATTCAGATTTCTGCGTTAAGCTTCTAAGAACTGTAAAGCAAAACAGACGTTGATAAAAGATGTAACTAGAGACATGGGGAATCTAAAAATGCATTCCACAACATATCTCCTTAACTAAGCAAAACTCCTTAGCGAATTGGTTTCTAGTATTCATAAAGAGTATATCGAAATAAAAGAAATGACACGTTCAGAGCGTTTGTAAATAGCCGCTCCGAAGATTGTTTACAGGATAAAATACGTATAAGCGGATATACAGACGCACTATAGGTGAAATCAAATTTAACTGATTCAAGGATACGATCTCTGTACTTAAAATTAAGTTCAAGTGGCCAAGTATCCAGATTATTATATTTAAAATGTTCGTTAAATTTTTTTTTGCTACCGGTAGTCAGTTCCAGATTTGTTTTTGGTTGATTATTGTTTAGATTTCAGGTTAAGGGCATTTCTTCGAAACTAGATCGAAACGTCCGCTTCAAGGGGACTTCGAAATAGCGGCTGTTTTGTATAAATATAAAGGAACTTTTTATTTAAGTTACAGTTAGTTTTGAATTGCGAGTCGAGTTTTGAAATGTAACGCGCGTATTGTTGGTAATATAAATTGTAATACATGTTGTAAATAAATTATATAACTTTAGTGTAAGATAAATTAGTAAATTATTGTATATAGACTTAAATAAATTAAGTGTTAGAACATTTTATAATAAATAAATGAAGACAATAAATTAGATTTATAATAACAGTTCACTACATACCGAATTTTCTTTTTATTGAGTTTAATGCGTCGACAACTAATGGTCATTGGCATGGTACAGTAAATTTTACAGTCAGGTGTGTAGTGTGTGTGTGTGTGAGTGTGTGTGTGTGTGTGTGTGTGTGTGTGTAGAGTAAATGTCTTGATACTTAGCAAATTCGACCTCATTGTCTTTGTTAAGAGACGCTAATTGTATCCGAACGTCTGCGGTCCCTCCGGTGAGTACCGATCGCACAAGGATAGAAATTATTT